GGGCCGCATCCGGCCCCTGGGCCTTAGGTTGCCTACCCCTGTTTTACAGCAAGCGATGTTAGTTATTACCACTTTATTGTTTGTTACAGTGTTGTATCAACACATTCCTCATTCTCAAGCAAGAATAGATAATAATAATAATAATAATAATAAATAATAATAATAAAAACATCTCCGTGATTACTTCTAATAATATCTTCAAGATCTGGACAAGAGATATAAGAGAATTTATTTGGCAAGGGAAGAAAGCAAGAGTAAAAACAACAGTCTTACAAGATGTGAAGAAGAAAGGAGGTTTAGGCTTACCCAACTTGCAAACCTACTATAGTGCTGCAGCCCTTACCTGGATAAAAGATTGGATAGAGCTCAAGAACAAGAGGACACTGGTATTGGAAGGGATAAATCTAAAAGATGGTTGGCATAAGTACCTACAATACAAGAATGAGGCAAAAGATAATAACTTTAATAAACACCTAATCAGAAAAGCATTAATGAAAGTATGGACAAAATATAAGAACTTTTATGTATAATAAAATCCCAAGATGGGTCTCACCGCAGGAGGCATTTCATAAAGGAGAATATCCCGATAAAAAGAAATGGCTTACATATCATGACATTTTAACCAAAACAGTAAAAGGAGAAAATATAATACCATTAAAAGATCTACAAAAAAAAGAAGCTGGGATACACTGGTTAGGATACATCCAAATAAAAGAAAGATTTAAAAGAGATAACTACACAACAGGAATAGAACCAGAAAAAAATAAGAACTGGAAAATATTCTAGAAAAAGGGGAAAAATATATGATATCTCGGCTCTATAAGTTCTTGCTGGATATTGAATTAAAAGAGGAATCTATAAAGGAATGCATGATAAAATGGATGCAAGATATGGGAGAAAACATCGCGCTTGAAATATGGGAGGAAGTATGGATAAAAAACATGAAATTTACTAAAAGCATTTCTTTTATAGAAAATTATTATAAAATGCTTTATCGATGGCATATGTCCCCCCAAATATTAGCCAAAATAAACAACAAAGAGGATAGATCCTGTTGGAAATGTAAACAAAACAAAGCAAATTTGTTTCATATGTGGTGGAAATGTGAGTTAGCAGCGAATTTTTGGAAACTGATTCATACAAAAATACAAGATATTTTTTAAATTTACTTTAAGTTGGACCCAAAACTGTATTTATTGAATATAACAGAAGAATTAAAACATAAAATTAGCAAGGTAGAAAGGGAGGTTGTACTATATATGATAACAGCGGCCCGTATAGTATTCGCTAGAAACTGGAAAGAGATTAAGGAGAACTTAGAAGAAGAATGGCAAATAAAATTGATTGACTTGATGAATATGGATGAATTGACAATGATGATTAAAGACAAATCGGACCAAAAATACCACGAGAAGTGGGAAAAAATAGAGAAACTCTGGAATTAATTACCGATATGATGTAAGATTAAAATAAGCCGTAGAAAAATTTCCAGTATAATCTAGCCAGAACTCTTTAGAAGGAGAAGACTATGGGCCTTTGCAGACTGCCAGAAATAGTGCAAATTGAGTCCACTTTAAGGGTTAGGGTTAGTGCTAGGGAATCATGGGAATTGTTTTTTCTGAGACATTGAGTCTTCTCTGTCAGAGAGCTCTTTTGTCACAATAAAATACAGTTCCCATGATTCCCTAACCCTTAAAGTGGACTCAATTTGCACTATTTCTGGCAGTCTGCAAAGGCCCAATGTAAATGGGATATGTTCAATTTATTGATGTTACTATGTATTATAAACAGACTGAAATAAAACGTATGACAAATATCTTTTACTGCTGTAAATAAGAGAATGTACAATAACAATTTTTTCACAAATAATAATAATAATAACTTGTATCCAGCCCCTCTGAGAGCAACCGGGGCGGCTAACATATTAAAATACAGAATACATTCAAAACCCCAGTACCCACCCACCCCTTAAAAAGTATCAAATCAAGACAAGTTAAAACATCTTAATTAAAACACAGAATAAATAATACCACAATTACAATTAACTCACAGTGAAGAAAGGAAAGTGGAAGCGGCGAACATCACATTGGGAGGGAGAGGACTAAGGAAAATTCTCTGAGGCCAGGACACTATTCTGGAAAGGCCTGCCGGAAGAGATCCGTCTTTACAGCCTTTTTAAAGCTGTTTCGAGATGTAATTAGACGGATCTCGTCCGGCAGGCCGTTCCATAATCTGGGGGCAACTACCGAGAAGAAGAAGAGCTCCCATTAAATACTGTGTCTCTGGAGGCTATTAGATTCAAATAACATAATAACATTTAAAAAATCAAAACCAACAAACCAACAAAACTACTGTTCTTTTAAACTGTAAATCTTTGAGCCCCCCAAATTATTGGTCTCTTAAATTGTAAGTCTTTGAGCCCCAAGACTATTGGATTTTTTTAATTGTAAATCTTTGAGCCCCAAAGCTGTTGGGTTTTTTAACATTATAAGTCTTTGAATCACAAAACTATTGGAGTTTTTTTTTTAATTATAAGTTTTTGAGCCCCAAATCTATTGGTTTTTTGAATTGTAAGTCTTTGGCTGCAGAAATAATCCATTTTGACCCCATGTCAACTGCCATGTTTCCATGCTATGGAATTCTGGGAATTATTAGGTTGTTGTGGCACCAGATCTGGCGATTTATGGCAATCCTAAAACACACCAGATCCAGTGTCTCAACAAACCTCCATAGCATGGAGCCATGGCAGTTAAAATGGAGTCAACCTGGATTATTTCAGCAGTGGATGCAGCCTTTGAGCCCCCAATTTTGGGGAAAAGCAGGATATAAATTTGTATTTTGTATGAAGGTATGAAAATAGAAGGGATGTGGAGTCTGTTTAATTAAAGATCTACATGAATGCTTGAAGTGTCTATCTGATGAGTAAGGAATAAATGTATATTACTATACATTAAATGTATAGCGTATATTCTAAGTGTATGCTAAATGTTTTATTTATTTGTTGTTGTTGTGTGTCTTCAAGTTGTTTCTGATTCATGGCAATCCTAAAATGTAAGGATTTGCAGAAGGATGATGATGATGATGATGATGATGATGATGATGATGATTGGCAAGATTTGTACAGAGGAGGTTTGCAATTGCCTTCCTCTGAGGCTGAGAGAGTGTGACTTGCTCAAGGCCACCCAGTGGGCTTTCATGACTGAGTGGGGAATTAGATCCTGGTCTCTAGCGTCGTATAGTCCAACACTCAAACCACTATGCCACATATGGAGTATGATATAATAATAATGATAATGATATTAATAATAATCCTTATGCAAAGGGATCTTGTAGCATCTTTGAGACGAACTGAAAGGGTGAAATTATTGGCATGAACTTTCCCAGGCCTGAGCCTCTTTCATCAGATGCAGACTCAAATCTACAAAAAGTTCATGCTAACTTTTTTATTTGTTTATTTGTATGCAAGTGGATCTTAACAGCACCTTTGAGACTGACTGAAAGAGAGGACTTGGTAGCATGAGCTTTCCTAGACTTGAGCCTACTTCCTCAGATGCATTTGGTGGAAAGCTCAGGGACCCATATATACAACAATCTGTGTGTGAAAATGTCCGTAGGTCTGCCCTGGGCTCCTCACTTCATTCATCTGAGGAAGGAGGCTCAAGTCTTCCAAAGCTCAGACTACCAACTTCTTTTTTTCAGTGATTCTCAAAACTACTACATGATCCCTTTGCGTAAGAATTCCTCCTCCTCTTCTTCTTCTATCCTGCTTTTCCCTCAAATTTGGGATTAAAAGCATTTTTTAAATGTTGTTCTTCCCTCTGAACACCCCCTCTCCTAAATTCAGTTAGGTCGAAAACCCACTGCAGAAATAATCCAGTTTGAGACTGCTTTAACTACCCTGGCTCAGTGCTGGGGAGTTCTGTGAATTGTAGTTTTGTGAGAGACATTGAGTCTTCTCTGTCAGAGAGCTCTGGGGCCACGATTAACTACAAATCCCAGGATTCCCTAGCACTGAGCCAGGCCAGTTAAAGCAATCTCAAACTGGATTATTTCTGCAGTGGGCCTTTACAGATTCCCAATCTGCAAGATCCCTTTGCATCCTGATTTTCCAGACTTACGGGTCTTTGTATGGGTCTTTGAATCCTATCATTATCCTTGGTGGGTGGGTGTGGGGTGTTTGGTTCTGGGCTTGGCGGGTGGACGGACTTTCCTGGGTCACATGGACTGCGGGGTATTATGGGATGCCAGAAGGCCAGAGTGGCCACAAAGTGGAGGAATAATATAAAAAAAAAACAAAAAAAATCCTAATTTCTCCCTGTATTTCTGAGTTTGGGCGAACCTAAGGCTTGGCCATTAAAACTCATTGTGCAACCCTGGGCAAGTCACACTCTCTCAGCTTCAAAGGATGGCAATGGCAACCCCCCCCTCTAAAAAAATCTGCCAAGAAACCCCCATAATAGGTTCGACTCAGGGTTGCCATAAGTCAGAAACTACTTGAAGACACCCAACACAGCCTTTGCAGACTGCCAGAAACAGTGCAAATTGAGTCCACTTTAACT